GTTAGTTGCATGGAATTCAAAACTAACTGCTTAGGGTAGGATGTCCCCCCTGTGGCGATTTTAGTATGATCCCAAGTCCTATTACTCTAAAGTTGGATGCTCCGTCTGTCAAGAGTGTCCATTTCCCCATGTTTTCCTCTTTTTCAAGTTTTTGAGTTTCTAATTCTGCCCTAGGTTGTAGATCATCACTAAAATCGGCCACAAAATATGCTAGCGCTTATGACTTTATTGTTGTTCATGGCTCATATTTTGATATCATACGTTCTTAGTTTCACTGACCATTTAGCCATTCCACGTGACATTTCTGGTTTTTTATGACATTCTTAATAAGATAGTTAGTTATGAAGTGTATAGTATGAGTTTCGAAATAATGTCTTAGTTTAGTGGAAGTTGTGACTAGTGCTAGTATTAATTTTTCAAGGTGAGAGTACCTGGTTTCAAGAACCAAGAGACTTTTACTTACATAGTAAATATGGTGTTGATCTCCATCAAGATCATTGGCTAGGCTGCACTAACATCAGTTGATTATGCTGAAAGATAGAGGAGGAATGGTTTCCCATCTAAAGGTTTCACCAACAAGGATGCCGAACTTAAATAGTTCTTAATTTCTTGGAAGGCATCTTCATGTTATTTGGACCACTCAAATCTATTTTTCTTCTTCAAGATGTCATAGAAAGGTTTGCATCTTTCTTAGGATCTGGAGATGAACCAATTTATAGTTGCTACTCTTCCTTTCAACCTTTGGATATCCTTAGTTGAAGTTGGGGACTTTAGATTGATTATGGATTTGATCTGCTCCAAGATTGCTTCTATTCCTCTCTTAGTGACCATATGGCCGAGGAACTTGCCTTTTTTTCATTCCAAAGTGGCATTTGGATGGATTCAGCTTCATGTTGTATTTGTTTAATATGTCGCAGGCTTCTTCAAGATCCCTGAGGTGATCTTTAGCTCTTTTGGACTTGACAACCATTTTATCAATGTAGATTTCCATGGTGTCCCCCACTTTGTCCTTGGATGTTCGATTTACCAGTATTTGATATGTTGCAACTGCAGTTTTTTAGGCCAATTGGCATAGAAATATAGCTATATATACCTGTGGGGATTATGAAGGCGATATCCTCTTGATCAGATGATTCTATTTGTATTTGTTGGAACCTAGCTGAAGCATCCATGAATGTTAGTAATTTGTGGCCTTTCGTGGCATCTGTCATAGAGTCTATGTGTGGCAAAGGGAAAGGATCCATAGGGCAAGCCTTATTAAGATCTGTGTATCCCACACATACCTTCCATTTTCCATTCTTCTTTTGTACTACCAACATGTTGGCTAGCCACCTTGGGAATTTGACTTCCTTAATCATTCCTGTCTTAAGAAGTTTTTCAACTTCTTCTTGGATGATTTGGTTCCTGTCGGGTGCAAATTTCATTCTCTTTTGATGTATAGGTCTGAACTAAGATCTATATTAAGTTTGTGAGTTATCATTTCTTTGTTTATACCTGTCATATCTTCGTGTTTCCACGTGAAGGTCTTTCTTCTTCCTTTTAGGAACTTCACTAGGTCTTGCTCGATTCCTTCAGGTATTGAGGATCCTATAAGTACTTTGGCATCAGGATCCTCAAGAGTCAAGGGTGCTTCTTTTATGTGTTTTTCTTTTGCTTCTGGTACGTCTCGTACCCTTTGATTTATTTGCTATGCTTATCTTGTTATTGTCGAAGACTTCGTCGAGGTCTTATAGAACTCTTTAGATTCTTTTTGATCACCGATGTTCTTCACTGTCCTCCATGGGGTAGGCATCTTGACGCATTGATGGTACATCGATGGAACCGCTTTCATGTCATGGATCCAGGGCCTACATAATATAACATTGTAGTAAGACAAAGCGTCAATAACACAAAAGCGTTGCATAGAATTTATCCCTTCGATGTAGATAGGCAGTTTGATTTCTCCAACTGTATGCTTCCTTTCGCTGTTGAATCCTACTAGTATTGAGGATCTTTTGATTATCTCAGATTCTGTGATGTTCATCCTGGTCAGAGCATCTAAGAGTATGATGTTTACTGAGGATCCTCCATCTACCACGATCCTTCTGACAAAGTGATTGATGATGTAGAGAGTTATCACTAATCCATCATGAAGAGGATCCTGAATGTTCTCCCTGTCCTGTTTATCAAAGATGATTTCTCTATCATTTGTTATTGATGTGTTCTTCTGGCGTCTTTCTTCCTTTTCTGTCTTGGATACTTTAGTGTGTCTTTTAGCTGCATATTAAGAAGTTCCATGGATGTCTGATCCTTGAGAAATAACGTTGATTACCTTGGCGTCTAAAGGAGGGGATCCTAGTTTTTACAGGATCTTCATAGGATCTTTCTCCTTTTCTTGGGATCTTTCTTTCCTTCTTCCTAGGATCTTTTTAAGATATCATTTACTCGGGAGATACTTAATTTCCTTCCTGAGGGCTACACAGTCCTCAGTGTTGTGGCCAAAATCCTCATGATATGCAAACCACTTAGATTTCTCTTTCCAGCCACTTGATTTCTATCCTTTCCTTGGCCACGTTTCTTTGTCACCAAGATCCTGCATAGCAAATATCAGACCTGAAACATCCACATGAAAGCAATAACCAATGATATTGGGGAATTCATCCTCATCCCTTTCATCGTCAAGGGCATTAAACCTATGATGATATGGTTTGGAGTATGGTTTTGATTGGTAGGATCTTTAGGCTGAGGAATCGGCCTTCCTATTAGGGTTATCATAGGAATTTAGAGTGCTAGTTCTCTATTGAATTTATTTGTCTTCTGCTGTCTAATGAACCTCAGCACTCAATTTCTGACTTCATCCATTCTCTTGCATCGGGTCATCACAAGATCTTCATAGAATGGAGAATCCTTCTTGAGGCCCATTTTGAAAGCTTCCACGACAATGGCCATATCAATGTTTGGAATGTTCAATACTTCTCTACTAAATTTGCTTACAAAGTCTCTAAGGGATTCCTTAGGATCCTGGACTACTCGATAAAGATCACTAGTGATCCTTTTGAATATCCTGATGTAAGAAAAATAGTCATTGAAAAGATTAACTAAATGATCGAAAGATGTAATGGAGTAAGGAGGAACATTGAGAAGCCATTTCAAGGATGATCTTGTAAGATTCAAACCAAAACCCTTGCATAAACAAACTTTTTTCAAGTGTGATGGAATGGGGATGATTTACATTCTTTCTCTATACTGTGTTATGTTGCTCTCTAGATTTGTGGTTCCATCGTAGGGTCTTATATTGGGAGTTTGGAAGCGTTTTGGGACTTTAGTGTTGGCTATTGACGGAATAAACCTTAAGATCTTGTAACTGGTGGGGGACAATTTCAGTATAGGATGAACCAATCCTGGCACTCTCGAGATCATCTGCCTTAGTTGTTGAAGTTCCTTAGCCATGACTGGACTTATCCCTGCATCAAGATTCACGGAGTTCGCATTAAAAATATTGTTTTCGAAGAAGTTACCAGTGTCTTTGTTCTTAGGAGTAATAAATGTTTCGCCAGGATCATAGATCACAGGATCTTGACTGGTTGAGATTATGCCCCAAGTCGAGACAACAAAGAACACTAGGACCATAGTCTCTGGACGTTTCCCTAATTGTCCTGTATTGTTTAAATTTAGGATCTTGGGTTGCAAAATAGAGGGTGTTGCTTCTTGTGGTATGCAGATCTCTGCTCTTATCCTTTCCACCTACTTGAGCAACATCATGTTGTCCTCTTGATGTTAGGTCACTTCTTATGTTAACATCTTCATCATTGATAAGAGTTCTTTGTTGGAGATCGGAACGGGAGGATCCTAGAATCCCATGGATCATGTATTCCCATGGCTAGTAATCGGAGAGGTGCTCTTTTTAGAAGCATCAGAAGTTTTCTTCTGAACAGGAGGTTCGCTTGGAGGTGGTGGAAGATTTTTCGAAGAGATGAGAGGAATAGAAGAAGAAGACAAAGTTGGTTGCGTAAACATGATTTTCAAGGATTATGAACACCACAACCCTACCGTGGGCACCAAATTGTTTTTGTCAAATATCGATCAAATGGAAATCAACCAAATTGTATGAGAGGTTGTGGTGTTGTGACTAATATGAGTATCGAATTGAGATCAAAATGACACAATTGGTTTACAAGGAAAGCCCTTGATCCTTTATAGGATCTCTGACATAAAACCTTGGGAGGTGATAATGATCACCTGCCTTGTTTGATTTTATTGATTTGAATGCAAATTATAGAAATGATAATAAGAATACGAGGATAAATGTTTCAGTAGCTTTAGGTGTGTGGTGTCTGAATTATACATGTGTATTTATAGTATAATCTGAATAACTAGAAGTCTGATATTTTTGGAATCCTCTTGAATAAGTATTTGCACGTTGCTTTGACTTGGTATTTCCGGGTCTTAAACCTGTTTGAAGTAATTCTCTAGGATAAATGAGTCTTTTGTTGACTATTTCTACACAAGTGAAGAATAAACAAGAAATATATTCGTTAATCTTGCTAGGAAATAATAATAATGATCAGGATCTTGGTGTATGTTTTGGGGATCCTGAGATTGCTTTACGATCCGTGATCGTAGATAGGGTTGAGGATCTTGACCCTACATCGGGCATCAAATTTCTCGATAGTAAGTATGATAAACAATTATTATCAATTTATTTATAATTTCTTTTTATAGTTTATTTATATTACAGTGAAACGTTTTTTTTTTAAAAAAAAGTTGAAACAAGCTTTTTATATATTACGAATAAACCGACCCGATAATCAAAACTTTTTATCCGTTTATTTTATCATTTCATCTAAACTAGATGGAATTAGATGCGCCGTTGGCGCTGTGTTATGAAGGGATATTACACATATGAAACGGTTGTTGATATCAGTTACATAGGAAGGAGTAGATTACAAAAGATGATCGCATCAGACCACTACATTAGCAAAAGATGGTTTCTTGGAAGATGCAGTAAACATAGGAGCCCTTTATTTTTCAATATCTGCCTCAATCATATGAGATACAGATATGGGAGGAACTGACACCTGTTAAGTTTCAAACAAATTAATCAGATTTAGGGTATGTACTTCCATAAATTTTATAATCTAAAAAAAAGAATTTGGTTTTTTTGTGTTGAAATTAGTTGAGGGGGCTGACAAATCCACTCAAAAGGGCTCTGAAATCAACATTTTCATCTGTTTCTTCTTGGGGCGTGTCTTGAAACTGCATCATTAATTATAAAATGCTTTTATTTCCATAAATAATGGTAGAAACTATGATTGAAATCCATTATTTCATATATGATAACTGATATTTAAAAACCAACTGATTCAACAACCTCCTTGTGAGTTTAATCTTCTTGTTGCACCCTTCAACATATAACCACAACAAACCAATCAAATTATAAAAAAAATCCAAACTTTTATAAAAATTTAACATCTTTTATATAAATAATAAATTACATACTGCTGCAGATGCATCTCGACCAAGTTGTGCAAGTTGCAAACTCATGCCTGGTTGATTTGACATAAACCTTGCAGCTGAAGGGTTCCTATTGGCTACAATCGCTTGCCATACCAGTTTTGACCTCCATAAACTCTGCTTTGTAAACTTAAAACCCTGAAAATATGAAAAGTAACGGTTTTAGTCCCTCAAAGATAAAACTGTAATTGTATATAACTATATATATATATATATATATATATATATATAACAAACTTTGTTTTCTAAAAGGGAAGAAGGAACAGTGATATGTAAGGAAGAGCTTTTGGGGAAAGTCCCATTTTCTACATCTTTTATGGCTGCATTTATAATAGGTAAACAAAGAGATGTAGCATCCTTGAATTCATTTTCTTGACTTTCACCTTTTTTCCTGGAACATATGAACATTTGATTTGATCTATTAAATATGTGTAAAACTAATAATCTTAAAGGAGAATTGGTTACTTACCACTTTAGGGAGATTGGTAAAGATGGTATCCCAGTAATTAAGGCTTGCCTAACTCCAGCTATAGCACTCGAGGAAAACCTGTTTTGATTACTAAAAAAATGATTTTTTTTATTTTGGGATAAATTTTGGGAATATTTTAGCCAACAGTTGATTACATCCATTTCAGACAATTTGAGGCTACATACCCAACTTGCAAATCTCATAGCATAGACATTTGTAAAATTTACATACCTCGTGCGGCCATAAACATTTTTCGTGCATGATACAGCAAACCAAGCACCTCACAATTCAGTAATAGCAGCAATAAAATAAACCAATATTAAACAAACAAACTACATATAAGCAAACTTAAGAAAATAAGTGAAGCAACTTGTGTTATGTTGACCCAATTTAACCATTCATAAAATAAAATGGTAGCTACTACTATGTACATAACAGATTACATGATATATCAACCAAATGAGTGTTTTTATATTTGGTTAACAACTCAATCCCAAACCACACAACAATATATGATTATATTAAATGTGAATGTAGAGTCGAATGCAAATATGCTTAGTATGACATCCTAATTTATTTTGAAAAATGTACCCAATTAAAAGGAAACCATTGATTTAATCATAACATTATTTTTCTTCGATTCAACACATCTCTTACCTTTAGAGCTTCACACAACATCTTCATTCGTTGAATTATTGCTGCTTCTTGGAGATGGATATGGTGCATTATGCTCAAGATGCCCTGTCAATTTCATTGTCAAATTCGGATATTTGAACTTTACATATTCTTTTCATGCAAATTGTTAATATCCATATCATTAAAGAGCACCAAGACTCAATTTTACAACCAAAAGCCACTGTTTCATAGATCAAACCTGAATGTGAAGCTTCTTGATCAGGTACAAATTCAAGAACAGAAATGGGGCTTCAATTTTCAATATTTCTAAGACCCTTCCAGCAAAAAATGTGATAGAGAGTAAAGTAGTACATGAAATCGTCTAAATTGAAAGATGACTTATACATGAAAAGTGGTAATAGTGGTTGAAGAAAAAAAACTTGCCTATAATGATGGTGGGATGCTGTGAGGGAATGGATAAAATCCATTAAACTAATCTTAATTTTGACCCTTCGTCAACAAACTGACTTTGAAAATCGAGACGGTTTGATCTGAAATTGAAAATGCACAACTCAATCCCTTTACTAATACACATACATGAGGAAAATACACAATTGCAATATTCACAAGATTTAAGAGACCTCATTTCGCAAACTTTTGGGTTTCAAACCATGTTTATTCCCCATCTTTCTCCTGTCTTTGTATCTTCCATGGAGTTGATCTGTCTTGAAACACCACAAATTTTCACAGACAAACTATTAGTATTCAGTTTGGCTAAAGCTAAATCGATAATCAATCAGTTCAAGAAACCCATGAAAGAAATTTGATAAAAATGTATTTTTGTACAAATTCGAATTTAATCAGATTCCATAGAATATATCAGCAGCTTCACATGGAAGAATGAAGATGAAGTCACAAAAGGTCTGGTGCGGTTCTTTGGTCATCTGACAAAGGTAATACAAAATAATTAGTACGTATGCATCTACATCCAACTAATCAAAACTTTTTTTGTTAAGAAGTATGAGGAATGAAAACCATTATGAAATTACACCGGCTCCTAAATTAGGGTTTTTTTTGAATTTTGAGGGTACATGATTCCAATTAAGAAAGAGAAAACGAAAACAAACCTTGCTTTTCAAAGGGAGTGGCTCATCTAAAACCTACATCAGAAGAAGACATAAATGAACCCTTTCATATCTCCACAATTTCTCCACCGCCACCGAAGACCTGAGGAACGATTTTGGAAGCATCCACCTACGGCTCCTCCCAAATTGGTGGCGCCGACACTTTCAAAAACTACTCGGAAAACATTAACTTTGCATCCAGTGGTTTCGCCAGATACAACGGCATATCCACCGGCCACCATGAAGGATTCACCTCCTACGCGACTGACGCCAACGTCGCTAACTCAAACTTCACCAGCTACGCCACCGAGAACGTGGTGGTATTTGATCGGGAAATCGAAGTATATCGTTGGCGGTGGCGGTGACCTTTGTGCTGGCTAGAGAGAAGGCGGAGAGGGAAGTAAGCAGAAAGAAAGAGGAAATAAAGAAAAGCGAACGAATTTGTATTGGACGAGGAGGGGGTAAGGCGGCGACCCAAACGGATAAGAAGGAAAGGGAAGAAGAGAAGAATTGGGGCTTTTTTTATGAAAATGTAAACTTCAGTGGCAGCAGAAGAAAGAGAAAAAAAGTTACTGTTCCTCGACTTTTTAACAATTAATAGTATATATAATGGGACACACGTGATTTTGAATAATAGATTCGCCACTGATGGCCGATCATAATGGAAATATTTTTAATAAAAGAAAAACAAGTTTTATGACAAATGATGTAAAAAAAATTATTAAATCTACCATAATAAATATGAATGATTCTGTCATATGTCGTTCTCTCGTTGAATTGATCACATGTTAATTTGTCATAATTTTGAGATCTACTTATTTTTCATTTGTCATTTACTTTATTTTTATTTTCCAATATATCATTAATTTAGTTTCCATAAATTAAACCTACCATAATGACTATTAATTTTAAATTTTAAATTTTAAAATTTAATTTCAAATAAATTTATGGTTTAAACCTTTGTTTTTAACATTTTGTTATAATTAACTCGTTTACTATACGGGTATGACAACTAAACACATATTTTTAATTTATTTATTTCTCGCATGTTTTTATTTCTCACAGTTTTCACTTATTTCATATTTCAAATTCAAATAAACTTCCTATTTAATTGTCTCTATTTAACATTTTGTTTTAATCAACCCGTATATTAACATTTTGTTTTAATCAACCCGTATAATATACGGGTCTCACAAGTAGTATTATAATATAATCAAGAGTTGTTACCCTCCTAAATTAGTATCCTTTTATTCATATATCAATCTTTTAAAGACGTACATTTGTACCTTTGTTTTTATTATTCATATATGTTTTCTATGGTCTTTCATCAAATATGCTAACCTTTTCATTCCTATTTCAACATGCTTTATTTTTCTCTGTAGTTTTATACATGTACAATAAAAAAACAGAAAATAGAATATTGGATATGATAATTAAATGATAAATTCAATCATAAAAATATACTCGTTTAATAATATGGTTAAGTAAGATATGTATGGATGTACCCTTATAAACCAAGAGCTCTTCACATTCATTCTTATCAAGTTTAAAAATAAAAAAACAAAAAAAAAAAAAAAAAAAAAAAAAATTGTAATCATTGGGCTATTTTTGAATAATATTATTGAAAAGTTTGTAATCGATGGGTTAAAATTCATGGGCCAAGTGAAAGTAGAGCTTACATGTTTATTGGCAGTTGACAACTTAGCATTAATAAACAGTTGAGAAGTCTATCCTCGAAAAAAATATGTATACGGGATATTTATAAGGGATAATGACCTAAAAGAGTAATATATTTTTCGATTTTTACATATTTGGTCACTGAGTTTTTTTTTCTTCCACATTTACCCCTTCAACTTGTTAAACTGTATACATTCAGTCCTTATGACCGGCTACTACAGGTTACCCGGTAAAAATGACTTAATAGGGTAATATATTTCTCACTTTGTACACATTTAGTCCTTAATATTTTTGTACACATTTAGTCCTTTTTTTTTTTTTTGCAAAATAAGTCATTTTTTTGTACTCATTCAGTACTTATGAATGATTTTTTAGTTTTTTCTCACGAAATCTTACGTGGGACATTCATTAATGAGGTGTATGAGGCTTTTTGATGCTTATATCATCGCGATCTCGACTACTTGGTTGCTTAGGTCATGTGTTCTGAACGTCATAACTTCTTCATATGATCTCAGATTTTAACGATCTTTATATCCATGCGTTCGTATTTTAGTCTACTACTTTCATTTAGATTACTCTCATTAAAAAATAATATATTTTTACTTACGATTTTTATATCCATACGCGGTGGCGGATTTAGTATGGTCCCGATGTTGCACCGACAACACCGGTTTTTTCTGTTCGCAGTGGAAAATTTTTCGCTTTTTTTTCGTTTATACCTATTTTCCATGTATCGGCAACACCTATTTCATCTCGGCAACATCTACTATGTATTACTGCGTCTTCCCCTGTCCATACGTTTTTTATGAATGCATGTATGTATGTTTTTTTTATAAAATCGTTAGTAAAAATTTATTACATTTTAACGGGAGTAATCTTAATGAAAGTTGTAGTAGACTCAAAAAATGAACACATGGATAAAGATCCTTAAAATCTGATATCGTATGAAGAAGTTACGATGTTCAAAATACAAGACCTAAGCCAAACCACAAGACTTACGCAACCAAGCAGTCGAGATCGCATTGGACATAAGCATCAACAACCCCAAGCACCTCATCAATGATTGTCTCACGTAAGATGTCGTGAAAAAAACCTAAAGAAATCATTCATAAGTATTGAATAAGTTCAAAAAAAGGACTTATTTTGAAACAAAAAAAATGTTAAGGACTAAATATGTACAAAAATATTAAGGACTAAATGTGTACAAAATGAAAAATATATTACCCTATCAAGTCATTTTTCCCGGCTAACCTGGAGTAACAGGTCATAAGGACTGAATGTGTACAGTTTAACAAGTTTAAGGAGTAAATGTGGACGGAAAAAAAACTCAGTGACCAAATGTGTACAAATCGAATAATATGTTACCCTTTTAAGTCATTATCCCTATTTATAAAAGTATCATTTATATTTATTTATAAAAGTATCACGTATATTTAGTATAAATAAGGAGATTAAATAAATTGATGTACTTTTCAGCAAATCATAAAAATATCACTAGGTTTACAACCCGAGTTTATCGCAAA